CCGCCGCCGCCATCATCATCTTCGTCGTAGTAGTAATCTGAGGTGGTGATATCGCCGAGGGACTGCCGGTGCGCCTGGGCTCTGGTTGTGGGAGGCATCCTTCTTCCCAGAGAGAGCTCTCTGAACTTGGCTACGGGGGTGGGAGAGGATGATGAAGACATTTATGGTGTGCGAAGGAGCAGTAAAGTTCTATATGTTTCACAGAGCCTGCTGATGAAGAAGGGGTCTCCATGGTGAATCGGTTCACGGGTTACTTATAGGATCCAAAGGTCAGATGGCAGGGGGGGATAGGAAGGGGGAAGGGGGAAAGGGGGGGCGGAGTGAGGCCAACTATGACAAGACCCCCAGAGGCCCAATGCTAGTGCTAGTTGGCGAAGCTGGCGATGCTGGATGGGATGTTGGAGCAGGGGGGGAGAAGCAGGAGGAGGCAGACGAAGACATGGCCAAGACGAGCCTGGTGAGTACTCGCACACGAGTGGTGGATGAGTAGGTCCCATGAAGATGGACGATATGACGCATAGCAGAAGGAGGGGTGCAGTAAAAAGGAGTAAGAGCAGAATCGAGGACGACTACTGGCCGGTCCGGGAACCCCCCACCCCCTGGTCTTGCGAGAAGCTGATCAGATCACCTTCTAGAAACAATTCCATTTCTTGAACTTTTTTCCGTCCTGCATCCTCACCCGGTCCCTGATCCCGGAACCGCTGTTGCTGCTGGAAAAGACAATCAGGTGGGATGAGATGGAGGGATGTGTGAGGTCGGCTCGCTCTGGCCGAGACCGAAGTCTGGATGTGTGCCGTGAGCTCAGCAACCATGCCGGGGGATGGCTTAGAAAGAAACACGGGCTAGGTCGCAACAACTAGGTACTTTAGTTGTCGCTGCGCAAAAGAGTTGGGACAAGGTTTTGGGTCGTGAAACTCACATCAGGTGGTCGTAGAAGCTTGAGTGGGAAGGAAAGCAATGCAGAGTAAGGTCAGGGCCCAAAGAGAAACATCGGACTGCGCAGATCGAAGGTCTTTGCGCCGTGCGGCGTGCCGGCGGCACGCGCGTGGCCGTGGGGAGGAAGAGGGGCATTGATCTCTTCTTTTCCCATGTCCAGGGTCTGGGGGAAGAAAGCTACGACGCATGAACAATGGGATAAACTGACCGAGAAGGTCTGGTCTGGCGCGATTCATAGGACGAAGTACGGCAAAGTGGGGAGGAAAAAAGGAGGGACGACTCAACGAGGCACCGGGGGAAACATAAGAATGTGCTGCGACGATGAGAGGTTGGAGAAGAGATACGTTAATTTCTGCGCTGTGGTTCGCCAGATTGCGATGAGTCCTACTCTGACGATGACGATGGAAAGAAGAGAAGTCGAAGTTGAGATTGAGAGGCAGCATCCTGGCTGCCGGGGCGCTGGGTAAGGTACCCTGGCCCGGGTGAAGAGGTTAAAAGTGGGGTCGCGTCTATCGCCCAAAGGCCGAACCGCACGGCCGACCGCCGAAGGGCCGTTGTCCACCGTCGCGGTGCCGTGGGCTCCTGGGCAGCCTTCCATTCCCGCCCAGAAGTTCCCTTCCATCGAGTAGGTACCTCCAGCCACGGTTCAAGCCACGAATACGTTGTTGCCATTGGTCCAAGGCCGCGGATGGAGGAGACCAGAGTCCGGCTGCCCAATAAGAACCCAGGCATTCTCTGAACTGTCCAGTCATCGCTGCCTCTTGGGGCCGCGCAAACGGGCCGCTGGTAACCCCACCGTGGCTACGCCGAAAACGGGTACCATAGCCCCGAACAGGCCGGCCGGTTCTGCGACCGCGTTCATGTTGTTCGCGCGCCCCACTTTCTTCCCTTTTCTGACGTCCATCAGGCTCTGGGTTCCATGAGAAATCCAACTTCACTAAATCACAGCCTTCCTCTGGCCGCATCACCGGCCGCATCCCCCAACTGGTCCGGCCTTTCGACCCGTCCATTTTGCTGTGCAGTGTGCTCCCACGACCGTCATAAACACCTCACAAGGCTTTCTCGAAGCCTAGCACCGCTGTCCCTCCGTGGTTCCAAACTCCCGGAAATCGGTTGGAACGCCTTGCAAGCCAGAGGGAAGGGGGTCCATGGCCGAGAGGCCTCACGACGGCCCAGTCTACCTTGGCCTAGGCATTTGGGGTACTCGGACTTGTTCGTTGCAACCTAGAGCCAACTAGACTTCAACGACAGGATCATCACGGTACCTTATTCGTCCTCCTGTACGGCTCCCGATAACCAGCCAATCACTTCGATCGGACAAAGGTGAATAGGTTGAGGCCCGTTGGACTTGACATCGACCTCTGCGGCACTTCCTCAGCCGCAGAAGCCTCGACGGACTGACCGGCAGTGCTTTACCTTAGCCAAGCATCAACGGCTTCCCCATGGGTCCTTAGGCAGATGACAGGGGCAAAAGGGGCTTCGCAGGATCACTGGTAGAGGCATCTAGCGGTGTATTCTATTCATAGTCCGTATAAGTGCTGTCGTGTCACCGTGGGAGTTGGTAGTCATCCTTCGGACAGGCGCGATAGCCGCCTGCGTGAGCCTATCTCTCAAGACTCAGCGACCTTCCCATCTTCAGAGGAAAACAGGGCTTTGGGTGTGACGTATCTCGGCAAAGAAAGTGTACCAAGTCTAGACCGGGGATGCCTGGGCAGGAGCAGGGAGGTGTACCTTCATGTCACATGATGCCAGACTGACGATGGCGGTCGATGGGTAAGGATGAAACTTGTCGTCACGCAGTGGTGATTGTACAGCCCGGGAGGCATGACGGGGAAAGCAGAGAGATTGAAGTATGGTTTGTTGTCGGGTTACAAAAAGCCGCGCAATCGTCTCTTGGGCGGAAAGTGGTGAGTTTAGGGTTATCGGCACTGGGAGGCCATCTGATGTCTGCTGCCGAACGGAAGATGCCCTCAGCTTTGGCCACTTCGCCGCGCACACTTTGGCCTGCCCCCTTTCGAATCCACGTGCAGTTTCTGCTCATCAGTCAAGTAAAGCTTCCGCTTGCAGAACTCTGATTCATACGCGATTGATAACGTCCTCACAATGACTCTGACATTTCAAAGTTTGATGTCACTGGCAAGGTTGATAGTAAATCACAGAGTCGTATTGTTTAACAGCTAGGCGGGTTTCTGCAGCGTATGCCGTGACTGATGAATGAGAGGTTCTGAAATTATTGTCTAAACTCTTTGCTGTGCCTCTTCTAAGCCGAAAAATTTATGCTCGATCAGGTAGCCTCCTATCTCTCCAAGACCAAATATTTCCAAAAAGATGAGTCTGAGAACGCCGGATCTACTTGCGAAGCTTAGCCGACCACGTGTTCTCCTCAAATCGAACAACGCGACCTGAAGTGTGATCAGACTCGTGAACAGACTCGTGAACAGACTCGAACACCTGCCTCCCGAGAACAACATCCATGATGACTCCAATCTGAAGCAAGGCCAAGCCACATGTAAGAATGCCACACAATTGCGTGACCATCGGGCTGTAATCAGCGTGAACGGCATACACTGTAGGAATAGCCGCCAGAGACCAACCCGCAACGTAACAAAAGGGCAGAATCGGCAGAACAAAGATGCTCCTCCACCCGTTGAACCACTCGCGGTACCGGTACGTCATGGCGATGCCCAGGAACACGGCCGAGACGTTGCAAAAGGCCCACCAGCATGGGAACAAACTAAACAGCACGAGTGGCTGGTGGCCGTAGTAGAGATACAGCCCGTCGTAGTTGAGCAGGCACTCCTCCAAGACGACGTCGAACAGCCCGGCGAGGCCGAGGAAGACGAACAACGTCTTGTTGCTCACCCCGCGCATGAGGGCGCCAAAGATAGTGCACCCGAGCACGGCGCCAAAGGACCACCAAATGATGCCGACATACAGATCGAATTCGCGGCCGAGGAAGGTGAACATGAGCTGGGACGGGTCGTGGGACTGCGACCAGTAGCAGTTTGCGAGGTAGTTGTCCACGGCCTCGGGCAGGACGCAGGTTGCGGCGCCGAGGGTCAGGGCTGTGGGCACGGTGGAGGACCAGCGCCTGCTCTCTGCGAGGGAGATGAGGACGAAGACGAGGGAGAGGGCGAGGAGGATGGTCGAAACGACGCGGACGTGGGATGCGTCTTGGGCGAAGGCGTCGTTTGGAGGGGCGATGGTGCGGAATGTCGGGTCGAATCCGACTTTGACGTGGGCGTTTTGTGCGGAGATGAGAGGTAACATTGAGAGGATTGAGGCTGCGGTGAGAACCGGCCGGCTGAGAAGCTGTTTCATGTTGCAGTCTTGTTGTTTTTGGTAGTGAGGATGTAAGACGATATGTAGTATGATTGAGATTCGAGAAGTTGGATAAGTCGAACAGATGAAGAATGTTCCAGCTAGAATCAGCACGTCAGAAGCTTTTATATAAGTGAAGATGTCTTTTATATATCTCCATACGTCTGCATTGTTCCGAGTTGGTAAGTTCGGAACCGAACGAACCCTTCCAGCGTGAGGCTGTGATGGGCGATTTCCCACATGGAGGTATCGGACCATATCCGGAGAGCTCCTTGCCAGATTACCACAGAAGTTGAATAGAAATATCGAAGTGACGTAGCAATGGACCATCTTACAGAAGCGGGATCCATAAAGTTGCCGTAGGGTCTTGCGACGTGATATCACGATACCGAAAGCGGTAGTTCGGAGCCGAGCTTGCGATGTGGCTGGTCCGATGGATTAGTATTTGACCCCGAATAGACTGCATTTCCCCTTCAGATACGATACATGGAGGATGTAATTTATTGAGTAGACCACTTCGAAATATATCCCGACATCTCATTTCCAGGTCGTTCCTTCGTTACTTCTCATGAGAAAGTCATGGTCAAATTAACCGGCTTGGAGACGTATGGCCTCTTTCTATAACACATTCCTGCTGCGTGGTACAAACACGCCCAAACTCCATATACCCCGATCTATGGTCAGACTCTACAACGAAATCGAGAAAAAACAACGAATGAAATGAAATGGGTATATCAAATCGCCTACATCACCTTGCCTCTGCGATCCCCCGCATCTCCTTGCGTCCCCTTCTCTTCCCTGTCGCCAACAGAGCATTCCGCCGGCGGCAGAACTTGATCGATTGAGTGTGTCGAGTGCGACATGATATCAATAGTCGTACGGACGTTGATGACCGGCCTGTCGCGCGCCTGCGTCTCCTGGACGTGGCTCCTCTGACCGAGATCAGAAGACGGCCTCGACGCATCGTACTCCTCGTACTCGTCCCGCCCGTCGTCTCGGACCGTCTTGTTCAGCTCGATATCGGACCCGGTGCCGGACAGAGCCCTGTCAATGTCGTTAAATGTTCGTACGGTAGAGTTTGAGTTTTCGGATTTGCCTCCCCTGGCGACGGCGCCGGACGTTTCCTTTGTTCCTGGGTGACCGCTAGTGTTGACCCAGCCTGCGCCCGACGGACGAGATTGTTTGCTCTTGTTGCTCCAGCCGAAGCCCCAGTTCTGGAAGAGAGGTCGGAGACTGGTGACAGACGCCGCAATGATGCCTAGCGCGGGCTCCAGAACGCTCCAGATGGCGACGTCGCTGTTGAAAGAAAAAGGTCAGCCGGGTGCTCCTGTCAAGTCAGACATTTGGGGACGTACATTGTTTCGTAGAGGAAGTCTGCCGAAATGGCGAGACGTCTCACATATGGTATGCGTACTATAAGAGCAACGCCAGCACTAGATGTTTGTCAGAAACAGGATGCTACGCTACGGTATTGAAAATGTTCTGACTTACACCATGCCCATACTCAGGAGAACGGCAACAAGGGCCTTTGTGCGCCGGTTCAAGTTGACGTTCCACAAGAGGGCAATCGGCAGCAGACCCATGCACCAGTCTGATATCGCCGAGATGATGCTGTGAGCAATGGTCGCGTCCGGAACAATATTGAAGTTGATACACGACCCCGGGTCTCCGTATAGTTGCCTCCAAAAGTAGGACGGAGGCATGCACTGGAAAGTCATGATGCAGAAGAAGGCGATGGAGATCATCCAGACGACGACGAGGTTCGCATAGATGATCCAGCGGTGGACTTTGTTGAGAGCGAGACGGAGGAGCAAGAGACAAATCGAGGTTCGGATCGCCAGCGTGATTGGAGAGTACAAGACTTCGCAGATGTACCAGGCTCTGAGGGAGACGGCGGCTTGGTCGACTGTGAGCTCTGTAATGTGCTTTCCCGTAGCACCGTTGGTGATGCCGTGGAGGGCGATGCCACCATATGCTGTGTAACCAAGCTGCGAGGTGTTCATGTAAGTGGCAGGTAGGGTAGAATGCGAGGATCGGACAAAGCACTAACCATGGCCCCGAAGATAAGCCAGTCATCGATAGCTAAACTCTTGACGATGCATACTTTGACGTAGGCTCTTGCCAAGACGAAGAAGCCGGCAGCGAGCATAAAGGACAGCTGTACAGCAAAGAGCTGCATGCCTCTGGATTGGATATCATCGTGCGGAACTCGTGATTCTAGTGAGCCGTCCATATTGCAAGTCGAGATGGCGAAATGTGGTTCAGGCAAAACACCAGAGACATCGGGGCTCCCAGTGCTGCGGAAACGCGGATGGTGAGAACTTATAAGCACTCCCACTCTCAGCCCGGTGTGTTTGGCCCAACTTGCGCCATCCCATATGTCAAAAAAGAACGCTCACTGGGGGGAGGGAGGTTAGAGAGGAAAAAGAAAACGCCCCTACATGTACCGGTTCCCCACGAGGAGACTAGGTCTCGAGAGTGTATCTCTCTCAACTACTTTAAATTAAAACACCCCCAGTCCCAAATCGTGTTCTCCTCCATCTAAAGATTGCATGTTCCAGAAAACCTTCTTTTACAACGAAATCTCGCTTCTGAAATCTTCCTCGTGAGGCCAAGTTCTCCGTGCCAATAATCCGTGGCGAATACCGCCATTTCGATAAAAACAATAGCCAATGCGCCACGGAGAAGATGGAAAAGCAACACTTTCAATCGGGTCACTTGCTAGCTAGGCAGTACATTATGCGCCGTGATGGAGAGACAGGACGCAACTTGCAGCTGCCGCGAGGAAGCAGGGTTCAGGACAGCCACGCCCACGTCCAGGTTTTGACTGGGATTGACAAGTTCAGGGTCGCCCACCAGGCCTGCATATACGCACAGAGAAATTGCCAGTCGACAGGCGCACGACAATTTTCTCTCCGGTAGTTCCGCGACTCCGAGTGGTTCTTGTTCATCTGCAAGACAGATGCTTTAGGAGAAAGCGAATCCACACTTGGAGAAAAGAAAACCCCACAAAGTAGGTAATACGGGGTCGAGTGGGATGATGCCAGTCCTACACTAGGGTCGGTTTCTGACTGGGCCATTTCAGACGAGAAGGGTTCCTCTCCTCCGGATCAACGATGCCGAGGATCCAAAAAGCATGGCTCTGTTGCCCAATGATCTGACAGGTATGATACGCCGTAGCGAGTATGTGACAGGAATGAGGTTGTAGTAGAGGTTTGATCAGCTTTGTCACGCCAGAGGCTATTGATTTCCTTGAGAACCACATCAAACCAGTAAGTGTTACCTCACATACCCAACCAGTCTGTGATCAGGATGAGATTCCCTGTATGACTGTTAAATTGTTGATCTCGCGGTATCCGTACGAAGTACATGCCTCCCAGTCGAACGCCTGATATGAAAGCGGAGATGGATTCCAAGGCCCCGGATCGTGACCAGGCCCATAAGCCGCGGACCGGGGGGACAGCGTCATATCTTAGAGCTTCAAAAGTGCAAAATGTGCAACCGGCGAGAGTGTATTGCTATGATCCTGTTAGGTGAATGGTGGCGAGAGGCCGTAGCTCTTGATCGACAGAGAAAAGCGTCAGTCCGCATTGACTATTTTATCTCCTAAAAAAAGAAATCATTAGTCGGAGCAATAAGTTGGAGACCACAAGAGTCGAGACTCGATATTGGCTCTCTCAGTTATCGTTTATGACCAAGTATTTAGCGTGCTGGTAAGCAGACAAGATCCCGATAACCACGCATTGTATTGTGCATCTGAATGATTCGTCAAGGCCTGCTTCGCAACGTGGTCCCTCGGTGCATGTCTTGCCCTGAGCATTTTGCCTTTGGGAAACGGGTGGTTGCGATTCGGCCGAAGCCGAAGGACCATCATTATCCGTACATGGGCTACGCTGATGGTACCCTTACTGGAAACTGCAATAATCTGGAAGAGTTTTCTCCGTCTCGAGGGCCGCCTAGCGGTCGGCAAGTTTGTCCATCGTACGATCCGAACGAAGGCAGAGTAAGCCAGAGTGGACGACATGGATACCCGAGTGAAGTTAGATTGGATCGGTGGATGGGCAGCAACGGAGGACAATACTGTCTCAGTGTATCGGCCGTACGAAGAACCACTCGTTAGTTCAGCCCTTCCCGCGGCGGGACCAACGTTCGTTTAACCAAAGAGGCTGGCGAGTCATTGTCATCGGCCGACGAATGCGAAAATTGCCAGTACGTGTGTGGGCCAGGTCGTGCGGAACCGCGAGGAGTCCAACGGGGAAGCTTGGCCAGGCAGATCCGGTGCAGGCTGACTGGTTGACTGACCTGCCAAATGCTGGAAGAGAGGGGCGGGCAGATAGTATCGGATTGTGGCCGTGGATGTATTTGAAAATGCCTCCAAGCAAATGCCGTGGCGGTCAGACGGTCTAGAGGAGGAAAGTCGAGGATGAAAGCAGAAAAGAAAGTTGATGTTGGATGGAGATGGAGGAGGTCCAACGAGACCGAAGCAAACACCAGGGTTGCACAGGCCGGGGGAGCCTGCCGGAGCCAGGGGTGTTTGTTGGATTCGCCAATCGAGGAAGCTCCAGAGTGGGATAATTACCAGGCGTTACTTTACGCCAGGCACGTTGCAATGAACCTTGTTCACTCAGGTCCCAGCAACTCCTCAAGTTTGAAGTTGGCAATGCCAGGCAGATGCCGCGGTGGCATTTAACGCGGGACTTGTTTGCTTGTCAGTGTCAATCAAATTGCACTGACAGGGCGAGGTGCATTTACCAGCCGGCCGAAGTATCCCTAGGTAACCAGGCAAATGTAACTTGGTGAGATATAATTGGGGTCAGTAGCACATCGTATTAGGCCCACGGGGCAGAGTCGAGTTCGATCAGATCGCCCCCGACCGACAGCTCAAATAGTGAACAATGCGCTCGATCCTGCAATCTGCTTCACTGGCGCTTACGTGGACCACCTCAAGAGTCGAAAGTAGGCTGGACCGAATTTCTGCTCGCCGACCAGATCATCGTCGAAATTCTGTCTTCCTAGCTTCCTGCTCATTCCTTTTGTTGAGGGCGACTGTGCGAGAACTGATCGATGTGTAGGCAGGATCGAGAATGCCGTTGCGCTATGTCGACGAGCATCAAATCCTTAGGCTAAATGATATATCACTTTTCAACAACGGTTTTTGTGGCCCGTTGTCTCCAACAATGACAACAGTAGGGTCCGTGAATGTGAGAGAACTGGCGCTTTTGGCGACTAGGCTCCCTTCTCCTCCCTGCGAGCTTGGGTCGTCGAACGCCATTCTCTCGGGAGAGGCTTGCCTGCTACATGCGCCACTTGAAGCAGTCGACGGGTTCAAAGCTTCACTGTCTTACTCGCTGAAGACAGCTGTCAGTTGTTGATCCATAGCCACCTGACGATCAGTTTGATTAACCAGTGGGATGGATATTCAACAACGGTTGACTTGCAGGTGGCAATGAGGATAGCGTCTCAAATTTAAAAGCGCCCGTCAGCATTCGAAGTCCAGTCCAAAACACAGGTGATCCGATGACTGGTTGACCGGGTCCCATGACAGCAAACATCAAATATCTCTGAGCTCAGGCGTAGCGTGTTTGCTTGTCTTTCTGTGCCGCATGTCAAATACGTATTCAAAATTGAAACCCCTGTGTTCCGAGGTTGGCCCGTTAGGAAAAAGAAAGCGAATGGCGAGTGGTCAGATTATGACGTGGTTCGCATGAGCGGGGGTTGGGCCCCTATATTCCGAAGAGGGAGGGGAAACACCGGCAAAGTCAACAATTGGGAGCTGTAGTGTTGATCCACACGGCCGGGAGAGCGTGGTCATGTCGGTGCACTGGTCCTTCCGCCGGCCGGCATTCTGCCCTCGGCTCACTCCGTATCGGACCCGGATGCGGGGTATCTGAATCAGACGGAACAGTAGTGAGGTGGGGTCTCGAGGGTCCGGGACGCATAGGCCCTCCCTCCGGTACGATCGCCGAACATCTCTCATCATGAGATGACAACGTCATAGCTAAAGCTGATATCATGATCTAGTATGCTAGAAGCACCGTGGCGACTGCCTGAAGCCTTGGCATTCGATGCACAGTGTTCAATCGAGACAGATGGAGACCATACCGGACGAATTGTCCCGCCCTCGAGTTACCTCAGCAGAGCTCAACCGAATGTGCAGGCGGACGGTTGTCTCCGGGCTCCCATGCAATGAATCGAATTTTTGAGTGCGATCAGAAAATCCAGAGCCGCAAAGCTCCTGCTCTCGGAAATTCAACCAATTGTTTGCGCATTAATGAGAGGGAAGAAATAGCGCCTGAGCCTAGGCCGTACAATGTTTCTGCAATTGCAGTCACCATGACGTCGTTGATGAGGTATGTGGGTAACCGTTCTACCTACCTACCTTAGGTATGCACCTACCTCCTTCTAGGTGCTATACTTATCTTGACGACACAATGGATAGTAGCTTCCTTTCTGTCTCTGCTTCGGTCGTTATAACTCTTTCCTCTTGAAACCCCATCCTTTCTAACATCTTAAACATTGCTCATCCATCGACACCTCTTAGCACTCGCAGACTCCGTAATTGCCCATAACTACAATGACAGACAAATCACAGTTCGAGGAAGGTATTTCATTTTGCCATGATACTGCACAACGGAGAGAAAGCTCACAATTAGCTACCAGGTTACAAGGTGCCGGTCACGGACCAGAGCTTCCCCGGCAAGGAGGGAAAGCTGCCCGTCACCCCTCTTTTCGACAGAGTCCCGACTGCAGATGGCGGCTCCAAGTTGTATCAAGCTGCAGGGAAGCTCGAAGGCCTGAAAGCTGTCATCACTGGCGGTGACTCTGGTATCGGTCGCGCCACAGCAATTCTCTTTGCCATGGAGGGTGCCGATTCGCTCATCGCGTATCTGCCTGATGAGGAGGAGGATGCTCAGGAAACCAAGAAGCGTGTCGAGTCCTATGGTCGCAAATGTCACCTCGTTGCGACTGATATTACTGATGCCGCCAACTGCCAAAAGATTGTCGACACTGCGTTGGAGAAGCTCGGCGGTATCGACATCCTTTTCAACAATGCCGCATACCAGATGATGGTTGAGAATATCAAGGACTTGAAGGAGTGAGTTGTGCAAGCCGGCTCGCTGCTTTTTCCTGGGTACTAACAGACAACGCAGGGATCAGTGGATCCACACTTTCAACACCAATATCCACCCCATTTTCTACCTTTCTAAATACGCCTTACCTCATATGAAGAAGGGCGCAACCATCATCAACAACGCCAGTATCAACGCTTACATTGGCCGTCCTGATCTCTTGGACTACACCTCCACCAAGGGCGCCATCATCTCCTTCACTCGCGGATTGAGCAATCAGTACTGCGACAAAGGCATTCGCGTCAACGCGATTGCACCCGGTCCGGTCTGGACTCCGCTGATCCCCGCGACCATGAACGAAAAGGCTCAGAAGGAGTTCACGAGTCCCATTGGACGTCCGTCGCAACCTTCAGAGATCGCGACGTGTGTGGTTTTCCTTGCTTCCACCGACAGCGCAAGCATCACGGGACAAACGATCCACTGCAACGGCGGTGTTATCGTCAACGGCTAAGGAGGGAAGCGAGACATTCTGTGCTACATAGAGACCGTACGCCTGGTACAGCTCGTGGGTGCTTAGACAAAGTGACCTGAATATAAGGTCTATTAAACAAGTTAGCCGTTCCATGGTAACAACTGTGTGAAATTAGATGGAGACCGTGACAATCTCCATATCCTGTTCTAATTCCAAGAAAAAATCAAAGACGCTCAAGTTGCTGCGGCCATTGACCATGTGTTTACAGTCGTATTTCACGGCGACTACACTACATTCATCTGCTTAAAGGCCGATTCGGCCGACGGCAAAGTCCCAGGCGGGAACGCTACCCACAAGAGATTGAATAGCGTGGATGAAACAGGGGACTGGGATGAAACGAGACCAACCACAGGTCGCAAATCACCCACCAACAGGAGGGGCGAGGGGCAGATGAGAAGCGCGTCGTGCTGCGTGCATGACCTGCATTTCTAGTGTGGTTCTGGTGCATGTCAGTCGATATTGGGACGTATTTGCGCTGGCTTGACAAGTCTGCCCTCATTGGACAAAGGCACACCAAATCCTGTCTAGACCATGTGAACCGTCAACCCCCTTTATCTTGCTTTCATTGTCAACACGATGTTGATGTTTAGGAAAAGCTACTTTGGCGGGGAAACGTAGACCGACGTAGCCGACCGTAGGCGATAGCTGCGCATGTGCGGTTGGGGTACGGATACCTAGTGCTGGCCCAATGACGTTTCTGTGCCATGTTTACTTATTTACCATAGGTCGCAAGACAGGCCGTTCACACGCGCATGCAGATCATTGGATTACCCTGTGCATCAGCACACGTATCGTTTTTGAGCCGCAGACCGTAACTTGGTTTCTGTTCTGTTACATGACACGTCGAAGTTTGTTGGGGTTCTGAATCTCTAGCGAACTGCTGTAGCCTTGACGTCGTTCCCGCTGGCGGGCCAGAGTCATGTTGCGGTATCCTACTGCAAAATAGGCAGCGGGACGCAATGCAAACAAAGATCTCTGGGAAACTCTATTACTGCGACGTGGTACTGAATGGGGCGGGCCGCTGCTAAGGAAAGACACAACCACCATGAGTTGGGCAGGGCAAATAATCTTGTACTCTGCTACGCCAGCAAGTAAGGTCCCCTTTGTCTAGGATCTCTTTCCTGGACAGGCGAACGGCCAATGGCACGCCAAGGCTGAGTCTGGGGGTGCTCGGCCCCCAAGACCAGGAGTAATCTCTACCTTCTCTTGTCATGTCGTTACACCCTCATTCCCAGGAAAGGCTGAGCTAAATGAAGTACTGGGAACTTTGTCTCCAGATGTGACCAGAAACGGCCCCTCCTCCAAAAAAGACGTGTCGCGCTTTCCCCTTCCCTCCTGCTTCCCTGTCGCAGGCCCATCCCTTCATTTTCCCTCTCCCCCTTCCAGAACAACTCATCTGGTCTGCTTGTTTTGGGCTGAGCCACCCACACATTCTCCATCTGTTGTTTTCCTTCTTTTTCTCTCTTCTGCAACAAGAGCTTCGCCAATCCTCTCCATGTCATTGTCTCTCTGGCCCTGCTGAGCTTTCTTCTTGGAACTGCTTGAACGTCTCGAGCCGTGCACAAACAACAGCTCCAACGAGCCCACTCCACCAGCACTAAGTAAACAAATCGTCATTTTCGCATCGCATTCCCGTCGCATTCCGCACTTTCGAATACCCAAAGGCTACCATGGCCGCCACGTACAAGCAGTTCTTGACTGCTCCCAACTCGTCGCTGCTCGCGCCCAACGCGACGCTCTACTACATTACCACCACCACCACTTACAATGGTCCTACCGATATCATTAAGCATCTCAACACCCTGCGCAACCAGGTGAAGAAGAAGAAGGAGGAGATCCTCGACATCGTTGAGGGCCGCGATGCCATTGCTGCAGAGGTTGACACTACCCTGGAGTTTGTCACCAGTGGCGGCGCATACCTCCCTGGTCTCGACGACAACTTCCTGTCTGACCGGACTGTCTACCTTCCGATTGTTTGTGCTACCCCACGTCCTTTATTTCGGAGCTTAAACTTGGCTAACCGCTCCGTTGTCAACAGATGCACGTTGTGAACTTCGATAGCGAGGGCAGGATTGCCCAAATTCGCCAATCTTGGGACCAGGGCGCCCTCCTCAAACAATGCGACATCATTGGAAAGTCGGGCCGCAACTGGCCCATCCGGGACAGCACCGAGCAAATCAAATTGATCACTAAGGGCTTGAAGGCCAACGGCAAGGTCGATGCCCCGGCTCCCGACTTCAACGAGTTGACCCACCGATCGCGAGGCAGCTCAACCAACGTGCTCCGAGACCCCCATGCTTCTCTTTCTCTGTTTGCGCCCAGAGAGGAGCAGGAGGAAGAGGCACCCCGAGCTGTCGTGTCACCTTATGCGGGTACCCGACCTCAGCAACGGTCCTTCAACGATATTCTCGGCCCCCAGTACGAGGAACCTAGCTCCCCCAGCGCCGGACGCGAGCGCGATCAGTCTCCAAGCAAGTTTGGCGCTCCCAAGGCTGGAGCCGGAAAGAACTTCCAGCCCAGTCGCTTGTTCGACGCCGACGAGCACGCAGATGTGCCTGACAGCCCCGAGCAGAAGTCTCCCGAAAAGTTCTACAGGCCCAACCCCAAGAAGTTCCAGCACTTTGACTTCGCCGATGGCTCAGACCCGCAAGATACTCCCAAGCCCGCCGAGGGTCGTCCTAAGGCTAGCAAGCACGATAGCAGTTGGTCTTTCGACGATTTCACCACGCCGCAAAAGATTAAGCCTGGGAAGACATTGCGCACTCAAGACGTCCGCCATTGGGATACCGATGTGAACAACTCGGCAATTAAGGAGACCCCTGTCGCCCGACAGCAACAGGTCAAGGGACGCCGGGACGCCGAGGCGCACTTTGATTTTGAAGATGATGGCCCACAAAAGACACCGCGTCCCGCAGGCCGACCCAAGGGCACTGCGCACAACACCGGCCTCCACCTGTATGAGAACAACCTGTACAGCGAAGACGGCAAGCCCCTTCCTGGAACCGACTCTGACCGCGCATTGGGTAACATCACCAACCTCAACCACCGTCACAAGGACTTTGACCCCCATTTCGCCATGACGGATGATTCGCCGAGCCAGTCCGGCCAGCAGGGGCGACCCGCAGTCAGCGACTCCCGCAAGAAGGTAGTGAGCAATATGGACTCCCACTGGGATTCATATGACGAGTCTCCCGCCTCTCAGAAGGAGAACAAGCCTCAAGTGCCCTCCAAGGGCAAGGGCGGTATCCACATCGCTGGAGACGGCATGGGCTCGAAGAAAGTCAAAGAAGAGAAGGAGGGCGACTCGAAGGGCATTCACATCGCCGGAGACGGCATGGGTGGCAAGAAGGGCACCAACCGCAACTGGCTCTATGGAGATGACGACCTTGAGGATATTCCCAAGGCTGTTCCTCCCAAGGGTGGCTCAGGCTTGACCTCAGCCCAGAAGAGCTTCTGGGACTTCTAAGTGCAATAGACGGACACCCTGGCATTCATCAACAGACGAAGCCAGCGCCAATGACCCGGTGTCTTGTCTGTTGTTGTTACGATTAAATGTATTGTGCACGTTGCCCACGATTCACGTGAGCGTTTTATTGTTGCCAACATGCTATCCCTTCTCCCTACCACTCAACCTTGCATTATGTTGTCGCGTGATGGAGTGGTTCTCGGACCAGGGGAAGTGGGATATCTGGCTAAGAATACCTGGATGTAAAATTGCTGTATCACCCAAGAGAGAGAGAGAGAGAGAGAGAGAGGAAGCTAGAGGAGACGTTTTGAGAAGTAGGGGCGAGCGGAGGGCGAGGAAGAAAGTTCAAATTAGGTTCCTCTACCGCTTGTACTGTTGTACAGACATAGCCCATGATATCCAACAGACCGAACACATTTCTACCTACCTGATTCATGGCGAGAATACCACTGAAGATTTGACACGATGCTGATAAAACGAGCACGGTAACTATGAGGTTAGAGTCATCTGGACCTCGTGAAGAGCAACTCAATTCAACAAGCTGCCTGCCACTGTGTATCAGAATGGGCGTTGGACGATGTTACTTAGCCCGATCCCCACCAGTGCCTTCCCTCTCAACTCTGCGTCCCTTTCTTCCTTCCTGAGGCTCTTCCCTCAAGTGGTCGACCGGAATCACGTACCAGCCTGCCTCAGGAGTACCTCATAGATTAACCCCTCAGCCATTTCCTTGTTCATTCCTCTGGTTCTTTTTTCCCTCTCATTTTCTGAAAGTAGATATGCAGTGGATGATATGATCAAGGCACTGCCCGTGGGAATATACAATGCAGATAGAAAATGTTTATTGTGTTTTCCCCATTCTAGTAGAGGGCCATTCTGATGATCATTTTCGTTTCATCCAAATATGGCAGATATCTCAAGTACCTACCTCCGCATACAAAGATACCCACGATATCAACATAAAATAACGCGAAAAAAGTGTTCCAAGATCCACTTCCCACAAAGTATCCATACGCCACGCTGTTTATATCCCTCGCTTCCATATCCCCAAAATATCAAAATAAAAAGAGGTTCTCCCACGGCTTCTGTACCCCCCAGCACACATGAGTGCTCAACACAAAAACTTGTACACGCGCTTCCACCTAGGCCATGACCGCCTCTCTTCCTGCTCCTGGGCAACCAGGATGCCGAGGTTAAAGTCTCTTCGACCCGTGGTGACGTCCATGTCCTCGATACGGATAAAGACGGTCCGGAAGTAAAACTTGTGCGCAACGTACATGATGGCCACGATGGGGAAAGCGGCATATCGTAAGAAAAAGTTCTTCGCGACGGACTCGGCGTCCCACGTCTCCCAGCCGACGGGGAAGGCACCGACCCAGAATTGGGCGATGAGGACGAGGACGTTCATGACGAGGCCGCACCACGAGCCGATGACGCCGACCTGGGATCGGAAGGCGAGCTCGTGCAGGCCGTGGCCTTTACGGGCCCAGGCGTGGCGGAAGCGGATGTGGCAGAGGCAGATGGAAGCCCAGGTGAAGATAGACGACAAGCCCGAGATGGCGAGGAGCCAGTCGAGGACCTGGTCCTGCTGTTTCAGGTCGGCGAGGTAGGCGAGGAGGCCGACGGCAGATGCGACGCCGATGGCCGTCAGAGGGCGACCTTTACGGTCGACATACGAGAGGAAACGCGGGGCCTGGTGCTGGTCCGCCAGAGCGGCTAGGGTTCGAGAGGAACCAAAGACGGCGGAGTTGCCGACGGAAAGGACGGCGATGAGGATGACGGCGTTCATGACGGAGGGCAGGATATCGATCTGGGCGTTCTCGATGGCAATGACAAAGGGGGACGCGGTCGCATCGGCGGAGGAGGAAGCACCGAGGAGACGGGCTTCATCGTAGGGCACAAGAAGCCCAATCAGAGTAAGGGCCACGACGTAAAACAGGGTGATGCGCCAAAACACCTGCTTGATGGCGGTTGGGAGGGATTTGCGAGGGTTCGCCGCTTCGGCCGCTGCCAGACCGACCAGCTCAGTACCGGCGAAAGCAAAGGCAGCGGTGACAAAGACGCTACAGAGGCCTTTGAAGCCATTGTGGAATGCCCCCGGTGTTTGCCAGAAGCGACCGCCAATATAGCCCGAGTCTGGAGTCCCGCCGCAGTTGAGGACGATCCCTAGTAAGCTGCGTCGGGATTAGAACTAGACTCCTACAACAACGGAGAGGAGACGGAGACTTACATGAAGCCAATCACCGCGATGATCTTGATGATTGAGAATATGAATTCGGCCTCACCATACCCTTTAATACCAAAGAGGTTGATAGCGACGATGCCGATAAGGAAGATGGTGACAAAGTAAGCCTTGGTTATGCCCTCATCCCAGTACGTTATTGTAATTGCAGCCGCAATGATTTCGAGAGGTAGTACAATAAGCCATTGCAGTGCATAGCTATGTTATTTCGTCAGCGGTCTGTTCTCTCCATGGCGCGCGTGGGTACTGCGTATACTCACTTCCAACCCATAGCAAAACCCCACGATGGGTCCAGAAATCGCGTGGAGTATGCCGAGAACGAACCCGCAACGGGGAAAGCAACAGCCAACTCTCCCAACGCCTGACAAGTGCAGTATAACATTGCGCCCACGAGCGAGAAGGCAATCAGTAACGATGCCGGCCCGCCCACCTCGAGCGCCTGTCCAGAAGCCACGAACAGTCCCGTGCCGATGGAACCGCCAATGGCAATCATCTGCAAATGCCGGCCTTTGAGCTTTCTCGAGAGGAGGGAGTGTGAGGTTTGTAGGTTGGCGAGGCGGATATCGTAGTAGTGCACGCCATTCAGCACCCTCTCGTGGCCGGGCTCGAGGTCCAGGGACGAGTTGCTCTTTGGCCTGTGGATGCTGCCGTTGGACATCTGCGTGGGCGCGCGCCTGAAGCTCTCGAGCACGCGGCTCAGGACGCCCGGCGCGGGGCTCGGGTCGTAGATGGGTTCCCGCCGCATGCTGTAGCTGCTCCCGAGGGTGAGGGAGTCTTCCTTGATCTTGATCGCACTGAGTTCCACGTCCTCGTTGTACGGCGCCATCCCCGTTTCCGTGTCGGTATGTAAATGGTAGATTTCGAGACTGGTGGGGGGTCGTCGACTACACCGCTCGCCGCGGGGGTACTATTGAATCTGGCTCTGAGTCTGGCCCTGTTCGAATTGCTATCGTATATATCGGTCGATCGTGAGATATGGCGTTTGTACGTAGGGTCGCTCGTTCGATGAGACTTGGCGCACTTCAGGCATCGGTCACCTCCGTCGAGAATCGCATGCCTGTTGCCGAGGGTATCTAAATTCGTAGAAAGCAGGGTCTGCTGCCGATAAGACGCCTGCAGATCGTCTCGAAGTATTGGCGTAATCGTCCGCGGAGAGCGTGGAGAGTTCGTGGATTGAGGAAATTGGCCGGTCTTGAAATCTATGCCGCACACCAGGAGAAGCACGATGTTTCCATGTACTAGTCGTTGCGACGAAAAGCGACGGACTACCGCCACCTAAAGGGGTTGGGTGACTGGGCGTGTGTGGTGAGGCTTATCATGCTGGGCCGACCAGCGCAGTTGCCGCATTGGCGTTGAAAGGTGACAGGATGGGATGGCTTGCTGGTCTAATCTGGTGACAAGGATAGCCCCCCGACTGACAGACAAGAGTTCCAAGACGCCTCTTTCGGTCCTTCAGAACGTCGGCGACAGGACGAACTGGCTCGGCTTGGGGGTGCGACACTGGCGCCAACGAATGAGGGGAGAGGTGGTCATGGCTGGGCCAGGCTCGAATCCTTCAGTTGTCCCTTGGCAATAGGTGGGCAGTTGCACTTCCATTGCAAATTGTCAGTGTGCCCCCCAAACTTTGCCCCCCCCCCAAAGTCGCCCTAAACAGAGATGAACCCACTTCCGCTATCTCTCCCTTTTGCCCGTCCATGCCTTTACTCCATCTCTCTCGCTTACCCAATGCCCGCTGTTGCGATCGGTACGGGCATGTGCTTGTCTGGGGTGCGATGCTCTGATGGAGACTAAATGGAGGCAGCACGACTGGGAACCATAGATCGTCCAACTAGGAAGCTGGATGGCTCCGCAAGGGAGCGACCCTTGAACCTTCCGTGTCGACCGTTTCTCTGCCCGCATCGTGGGTTATGCTTTGTATTTGCTCATGTCAATATTCGCCCATGATCGTCGATTTTTCTCTTCAACACTCAAGAATAACGATGACACACCTGCTGAGCGCCAAAGCAAAATTCCCAATTGACTTTGTTCAATATGCAGGTGTCAGTCATGCCCTGCCTGCAGTCTGTTCGCAACTCTGTTTGCAGCTTTGCCTCAGACGTAACGTTTGACAGGCGCACAGATTGAGGCAGGCTATCATCCCACGCCCCACATGCATCGAGGCACATACCTTCAATACTTACGGAGTACCTACCTTAGAATGCAAAGTACATTGTCCCTTATCTCGGTATCTCATGTGCGGCGGCGTCAAGTCCAGTTCTTGTAAGTGAGCATTGAGTTGTGGAGTTCTATATCTATATTCAGTGGTTGTTGCCATCAGTAGCTGCAACCGCATTGCCCGACAACGCATATAGGACTTCAAAATGCATTGGTAACAAGACCATGAAGAGATACGTTGGCCCATGCTTAAGCAGTGTTTTTACAGCAGCTAAATCATCTTCCCATACAACGCCAGACTGTGCCGTTTGAATACGATGCCTTCAACGACAAAGGCATGCTACATTATATAAACATGCTCTCCCTGACTTTCATCACAGGTGAGCCTACGTCAATGATATCATGCTTGTTCCTTTTGCTCCTTTTCCTCTACAATCAGCTTTCCGTTGGCGTCTCTTGGCTTGCGCTGCCAGCCTGTGCTGAAGAGCTTGCCCATATCGAAGCGAGGGAGCGGGTGCGCTTCCGTGTTGAAGACGACCTTGTCCATGGGCAATAAGTCATCCGGTGAGAATAGGAGGTAGAAGTACTTGAGTGTCTCGGCCTAGTCATACCGTGTTAGTTACTATGGCTATGCAGTCAAGCAAAGTCTCGCTTACCATCCAGAAACTTTCCAGGTTGTCGCGCGTAACCGGGGGGATCGTGTTGGCGTTGCTCAAACTCGTGAAGCCTCCACCATCCTCGACCGAGGTGTAGTTGACAAACGACTTGAACATCTCCCAGCCCCATTCACGGTACTTGATGTCGCCAGTGATTCTCCACATGTAAAAGACACTCTCGATGGTCTCTGGTCGTTGAAGATTGTGGACATCCTGAGAGTGTACCTCAAAGTCCTGTCGCCACTTGGCATGCGGATCCGGATCAAAGTCCTTGGGTGGGTGGTGCGAAGCCGAGGGAGACGCGGGTGGGTTATCGATGTTGAAGTAGGTGATCTCGGCGGCAAGGCCTGTGGCCATCCACTTGTACATGCCCCAACACGTCTGCATGAGCTCGCGGGCCAGCTTCATGTCCTCGTCCTTCTTCTTGTTCCATGTGGGCAATTTCCTGGCCTCTGCCTCGGGAATACCTCCCGTCGCTCCCAAAGCAATGGTACCGGGCATGAAGCAGACAAGGTGGTCCATCTTTGGAGACAGTTCGTGGTTCAGGCCAGATGGGCGCTCTCCGAGCACAGTAAACCCGGAGGGTTTGCTGTACGTAATCAAGTGCTTGCGGACTCCTGCTAGGGCTTCGTCCCACATCTCCAGGTAGACGGGCTCCTGCTTGTTCGTCTGCAGATACTGCTTGATCAGGTACTCATAGTACGAGTCTCCGCGGGAGCCCAGGCGAATATTGTCTCCCCTGAACTCTCCCGTCGTGGCGTAGAGATAGATGGGGACAAGTCCATCCTGAGCACCGTTATCGTCCACCACCTTCATGACCCGCTCGACCTTGTCCCAGAAGTCCTTTTCGCCGGTCAGCTTGGCCAGGTACTTGAATTCGAGCTGTAGTGTCGTCGTCTCTGCCGTCGAGGAGGCGCCGCCGTCAGCGTGGGATACGATGCCCTTGTAGGTGGCCAGGTTGACACTGGCGTAGGGAACTCCCGACGGCGAGTCAAAAGCGCTCATCAGACGGTCGGCCAGATCCTTTGCCTTTTCCAGGTATAGGTCCTCACCAGGCGCGCCTGGGTCGTCGTCTTTGATCGCGGCCAGCTCGGGGAACTCGGTCGACAGGTAATGCGCAGAGAGAAGGCCACCCATCATTCTGATGGTTGTCTCAAACGTGTTGACGTCTTGGTCCTGATCCCACGTCAAGTCGTTGGCAAGCCATTGCCTCGCATGGCTCAGGCGTGATGTCAAGTTCATCAACATCATGGTGTCGAGCGAATCGATGATGATCCAACCAAGTCCCTTGGGCGCCATCTGTCGTCCAGTCTTCGCAATGGGGTGGTACTCGTCATATCCTATGAACAAACTCGGTCATTAGCTTCTGAACTCCATAATAACGAACACCATGTTACCAGCAAGATCAAAATATTACCCCAAGCATAGCGCTCATAGGCATCCCAGCTGAGCTCAAAGGCCTCAACTACCCTCTCCCGTCTCTTGAGCCAGTCCACCTTCTTGCCCGTGGGCTCTGTCGCACCAAGCCAACCAGTCCATGTTGTTGCCGATTCGCGGGCCTTGGAACCCTCCGAGAAGAAGCCAAAGAACCAAAGGCCTGTCACGAAGCAGATGAGGGTGACGAGGATGGACCGCTTCCGCCGCCAGAGAGGCCGAAACCTCCGGCTTGCGTGGTGGGCATAGGGCTTATCCTTGTACATGGGAAGCTGGCCCTTGGTTCCAAGAAGGTCTTCTACCCGCCCCTGCACACCATGGAAGATACCAGAGTTGCCTCCACGGTAGGATCGGCTGCTGTTGGCAGAGGCGCCCCAATATCTGTCTTCGAGTTGTCGCTGGGGGTTGCTGAAGGAGGGAACGTTCTTTGGGACATTGAAAGACATGTCGTTCAGCGCAGTGGCACCGGCCTCGACTGCTTTTTCTTTGATGTTATGGGCAGCTCGGGCGGCTGTGATTTTGAAAACGCTAAGGGCGGAGTTCTGGTGTAGATTGAAAGGGTCGCGAACATTCATATTACACCCTCAGCATTGTCGCAGTGTGGATCCGGCGGTTTCGAGCAAACGACGTGGGACGGGACGAACAGGTCGCAAACCTCGGGGGTCACAACCTTGGAGGGAAAAGACTGTGAAAGAGATTTGCAAAGACTGTTGCTCTGGTTCAACCCCCAACAGCTTTGAGGAATGACAGTTATACCGTGACGGGGTGTGATGTAGAAAAAAAAAAAAATAAGAGAGACAAGAGCACCCAGCGACTGAGACTACCTAAGGAATCTCGATGATGTGGACTTTCTGACCCAGCTGGAGCGGGCCAGTGAGTGACACCTCTCGGACGCGCAAAGGTGTCCCGTCGGGTCTAAAAGGTAAGGTACCGACCACTTTACCCGCTAGCCCACTATATTTTCTCATAGCGCCCGCTCACTGGTGGATGGGACAGGAACCTGCGGAAAGGCGGCATTTGTGCCCAGCATAACATGCACTTTCGTCATGATGGATCGATAGGTTTGAATCTTTATTGTTTGGTACCTAGTTTCTTATGGTCCCAGGACCACCAATCTCGTATACCCGCAATTGTCTGTGATCGCGAGTCTTTTTTTGGTCTACGCAATGCTTTCAAACTACTGCGTACCGCTTTCTGTATTCGTGAGGTAGCTCCATTGTGACCATTACTCCCACCCGCTTCAGCCTGATGGCCTCGAGCATTATGTGTACAAATCACTCATTGGCAAAATGAACACTCCCAGAAATCCTAGTGTCGCATTCCGTCTTAGTTTAGTATGTAGTAGTACAATGGCTCTTCCCAATCGTCGCAATGCTCAATCATGTGTATGCTGTGTTTCAACGCAAAAAAGCGCTGCTTCCCTTACAGAAGCATACGTCTGGGGTCCTCAATGTACTCCTTGACCTTGACCAAGAACTGAACGGCTTCTCTTCCGTCGAGAAGGCGGTGATCGTAGGTAAGCGCCAAGTACATCATGGGGCGGATCTCGATCTTGCCGTTGATGGCCACTGCGCGATCCTTGACTGCGTGGAGTCCGAGAACGGCAGTCTGGGGAAGGTTGATAATGGGAGTGCCCATCAGAGAGCCAAAGACACCGCCGTTGCTGATGGTGAAGGTACCGCCAGCCATATCCTCGATCGTCAGCTTGTTGTCGCGGGCCTGTGATGTCTCCATGTTAGCGTTGAACCTTGATGACGTAGTAGGGTCATCATACCTTCTTGCCCATGTCGGCAATGGCCTTCTCGATGCCGAGCATGTCCAGCGACTCAGTGTTGCGCACGACAGGGGTGACGAGACCCTTCTCAGTAGCAACCGCAACGCTGATGTCGACGTAGTCGCGGTACACAATCGTGTCGCCGCCGTTGGGGCCCTCGATGGAGGCGTTGACGGCCGGGATATCGCGCATGGCCAGGACACAAGCGCGAGAGAAGGCGCTCATGAACCCAAGCTTGACACCAGTCTTCTTGAGGACGTCATCGCGGTAGAGCTTGCGGAACTCAATAAGGGAGGACATGTCAACCTCGTTGAAGGTGGTAAGCGAGGCCGCTGTGTTCTGCGACTGCTTGAGTCTTTCGGCGATTCGGAGGCGCATGCGGTTCATTTTCACCTGTGAAAACGTCTGGTCAGCTCTAATGCCCATGGGAAAGACTGCGCCTGGAGATCTGAGGGTAGGCCTACGCGACGCTCTTCACGGCTGCCGAACGCCGGAGCAGCGCTGGTTGCCGACTCCTTCTCGGGAGCGGGGGCAGGTTTTGACGTCTCCTTTGCCGGAGCAGCTGGCTTGCTGGCGGGCGCATCATCCTTGGGCGCCTCCTTCTTGGGTTCCGGCTTCGATTCTGACTTGGACTCTGGCTTGGATTCGGGCTCCGACTTCTTCTCTGGGGCTGGCTTGGATTCGCTTGAGCTGGACTTCTCGCCTCCAAGCTCCATCTTGACAATATCCTGGCCGACAGTGACGGTGTCCTCCTCGTTGACCAAGAATTCCTTGATCGTACCGGCCTCGGGAGCGTTAACAGCAACATCGATCTGTGCAACAAAAGAAAGAACTGCAGTCAGTAACAGGAACGTGAATTTCCCCCCCGGAGATACCAGGCGAACAAAGTTACCTTGTCAGTCTCGATGGTGGCAATCTCCTCATCCTGCTCTACAAAGTCGCCGATCTGCTTCGACCACTGCTTCAGAGTACCTTCGGAAATGGACTCGGCCATCTGCGGCACTTGGACGATTTTGTCGGCATAGCTGCGGACGTGCTGCATCATCTGGGGAAGCTGCAGCGGCAGCGAGCGCGGCTGGTACCGGCGCAGCGGCACGGAGCGCGCAGTCGCGACAAGTCTTCTCGAGAGCATCGTGACGGGTGTTCGATGAGGTGTGTGGGGAAAAGGAGAGAAGAGATGAGCGTGGTTGTGTTTTCTGTTTTTTGGGTGCACTCTGGTAGGCTGGCAAGCTGGTCACAAGTCTGCGGCAGACCCACAGGTTGGCAAGAGTAATAGCATGGCTGTAGTGGAAGCGGTTCTCTCCGTGTGTACGCCCACAGCGAGTAGCCTTCTGCCACCAGATAGGTACCCTTACCTCGGATAGCACTGAGCCCAGGCCGGCTTAGAGCCTGCCCTGTATTTTTTTCTCGCCGGGACATATACGGAGTACATGCCGATCCTTCCGACGCTGGGACAGACGGGAATTCCCAAGAGACAATGTCACTAGCACATTAGATTGGCACTGGAACCGTCGTGACGGCTTTCTTTCACTGTCACTAGTAGGTAGGAAGGAAGAGCTTGATCTTAGAGCCTTTGATATACAGACAAGTTACGAAAGGAGAGATCAGGCGTGGACAATCTCCCATTCAAGTTGCGAAGTGCTACCTTACGTTACCTACCACTGATAGATACGTACCGGGACGAAGTAGCCGACTTGAAAGATTGGGTATCCGTACCTTAGGTACCTTGAGGCTGGTGGGGCTCCCAAGGGCACAACCAACCCCAAATCGCCGTACATTCGGTGGCCTGCATCCGGGCATCTCAACTTCAAGGGGGATACGGTCCGGGAAAAGAGACGTCTGCCGCACCGAGAACCCCGAAATCGACTCGGTCTACGTTCACACCATACGTGTGAGCCAACGAAGAGTCGATTCTGACCTCCGGTGCCACGACTGGTCATTCCCTTACGGTCGACGTTGCAGCCTCATCAGTCGAGTTCTCAGGGATATTAGGACCTATTTCATACGAACAAGGGAAACGCAAATTCACCTCCAGAGGACACATTGTCTACGTTAAAAATGTCGTTTAGGGACTTCCCATTCCTGACTCCTGAGGAGTTTTCCGAAATATGCCATCATTTCGATAGCCAGTATTGCCGTGCTACCTTGGGTCCGATGCGACGGCGTTGGAAAATGAGGGTATGCACGGCACTTGATACATCATTCGCCTCGGGCGTTGAATACACTACCTATTTGCAAATCATTCGGCCACTCGAGGCTACTTTAGACTGCGGCGATCTCTCATCCGTTCTGGACAACTTTTCATTTGGCGAAAGTCATTCGGAAAAGGATGCTCTGGGACTTCGTGATGAGGCCATGATTGATGCTGAAGAGTCCGACGAGGTAATGTCCCAGGTGTTTGGTGTACAACACGCTGCTTATGCTCACACATGGCAGGCTGCGCTCTCTAAGTCACACGTTCCTGATTCCGGTCACGTCGTCTACGAAGTGCACTGGCATCCCACATATCGGATGCCTTGCTTGTGGTTCACATTACACGGACTACCAGCCGACGAGCCTGCATTCAACCTGGACACTGTCTTTCGAAGACTGGTGCCCGATCAATTCAAGGATGCTCTCCGAAGGTCTAGCGGAATTGGAGGAATCTCCGGAGACGTAAGTGGGCATCAGCTGCGGACCAGTCAATTAAATCTTCTGAAAGAGACCGTCTGTAGGTCTGTACTAACAATCGAGGTCGCAGCACCACCCCCTCACGGGATTACCGTCATTCTTCATACATCCATGCCTACTCGGGGACGCCATGTCGGGGTTCAACTGTTCCAAGGAGCAGTACATGATGCTGTGGCTCGGCCTGGTTGGCGGATGCGTCGGGCTCTGGGTGCCCAAAGAGATGGCCCTGGATTCAACCGGCTGAAGCTCGCCGCCGCCGGGACCCTCCTACCCTCTCTCGCCCTGTTTGAACTGAAATGCAAGGCTGGGATCCTCAATCGTCGTCGCTGTCCTCTTCCATGGCAACATCGCTGTCCTCGTCTTCCTCCTCGTCTCTGGTCCGCTTCTGGCCTCTTGCATCAGCCGTTTGGGCGTCAGCCATGGCTTGATCACCCCCAGCTGCCGGCTTCGCCGTGGCGGCCCCCGTAGCCACTGCCGATGCGGCACCTGGTGCGGGAGCGTTGAAGATGCTCTTCTGAAGATCCGTCACTTCGGTGCTGGAGGCTCCTGCTGTCGAGTTCGGCATCTTGTATGTGCCGTCTAATTTAGCGACGAAGTCGGACTTGGACTTTGCGTACTGGACGTTCTGTTCACGGTCTCGTCAGCGAAACCCCTCATAATCTACCACTTTCAGGGTTCCATACCAGGGGCCGACCAAGGAACTCAAAGCCTTCGAGGGAGCGCATGGCCTGGGTTGCTGTCTGGATATCGCGGAAGGTGATGTGGGCTTGTCCTCGCATCTTCATGGTCTTCATGGCGACGATGTCGAGAACAGGGCCGTATGTGGAGAACAGCAAGTAAAGTTCGGTTCGCAGATCGGCTTTTTGTATCTTGTTGGAAGGGAGATTTGTGACATAGAGCCTACAATGATCAGCGAATGCTCCTTGGTTCCTGTGTTTCTGACTTACGTCTGGTTCGGAGCAACAGTCGCTACTTTGGCGGGTAGTGATGCGTTTGGCGCGAGGCCGCGGGGAGGAGCGACCGCTGCCATAGTGAAATGTGACGAAGAAAAGTGTAAGATGATATGAGGCCTTTGCGGATGTCACCAATTGTTCAACGCTGTGTATTCGGTGTGGGTATGATCTCGAGGTGGCGCGTAGCGACATTCGTCGTTGTGGAATCGTCGCGGTACCGATTTTTTGTAATGAACGTCCGGCCACCGCACTTTAGTTGGTCAAGCAGCCTTCGGAGCTTCACTGCTAGTGCCGCCAATCGATGTCACGGACGCCAGGGTGTGGCCTTAGGTTCTGAGCTGTGCAGAAAGCGAATGGTGCGAATGCCTTGCTGCCCTGTCGGAAGACCTACCTACGTAAGGTAACGCCCCTCTCTGCCCCACCAATGTGCACCTCCCAGACGGTACGGTGTAATGTATGCAATGCATGCACCTTACGTATGTAGAGCCTGGGGGGAGATACATTGCCTTGCTTGGACGGAAGCCAGCCTCTAGGTACGAGCACTGCCTCAAGCGACAACTTCGTCTGCCAACATCTACAACTCTTCTCTTTCCATACTCCCTCAACAACCTCCGACTCATTCTAGATAGTGGTAGTAGAGAGCTATACTCCTATCACGAAGCAATCGTTCATCATGGCGGCCCCTCAGGTTCACCACCTCTTCCACGCGCCCATCGCGGACCATTCCTTCTCTGCCGACCGCCAGACGCTGGCTATTGCTCGCGATTCTACCATTGAGCTCTACGGACCTACTGGAAACTCTTTCAAGCTCAAGGATGAGCTCAAAGGACACGACAAGACTGTCACGAGTGTCGACATTGCTCCCAAGAGCGGCCGCATTGTCTCCTGCTCTCAAGGTATGTCAATGCGCGCTGCCTAATTATGACCTGTCTCCGAGCCGAGAATAGCATCTGACCTTTCGCCATAGACCGTAATGCTCTCGTCTGGGAGCCCTCGCCGACCGGATACAAGCCCACGCTTGTTCTCCTCCGAATCAGCCGCGCCGCGACCTTTGTGCGATGGTCCCCCTCCGAGACCAAGTTCGCTGTCGGATCGGGCGACCGCGTCATTGCCGTCTGCTACTTTGAGGAGGAGAACGACTGGTGGGTGTCGAAGCACCTGAAGAAGCCCATCCGCAGCACCATCACATCCGTCGCATGGCACCCAAACTCCGTTCTGCTTGCTGCCGGATCTACCGACGCCCACGCCAGGGTTCTGTCCAGTTTCATCAAGGGTGTCGACGCCCGTCCCGAGCCGACCGCTTGGGGTGAACGATTGCCGTTCAACACCGTCTGCGGAGAATACTTGAACAACTCTGCCGGCTGGGTGCACTCTGTCTCCTTCTCGCCGAGCGGAAATGCCCTGGCCTTTGCTGCTCACGACAGCAGCATTACTGTCGTATACCCCAGTGCCCCTGAACAGCCTCCCCGCGCCGTTGTCACTATCACCACCCAGCTGCTTCCCTTCATGAGCCTTCTGTGGAGCTCAGAGGATGAGATCATTGCCGCAGGCTACGACTGTGAGGCCTTCCGCTTCAAGGGCGACGAAGGCGGCTGGGGCCTTGCTGGTACCCTCGAGTTAAAGGGCCGACCCGGCCTTAGCGACGCTCGTGAAGAGTCTGCGCTGAACATGTTCAGGCAGATGGATCTCAAGGGCAAGGCTACTGATGACACCAAGCTCAAGACGGTACATCAGAACACTGTCACCACACTTCGTTCCTATGAAGAGTCTGGCGGTAACCTGACAAAGTTTACCTGTAAGTTTTCTAATCCCTTTGTTCAACAGTTTCGAGTACTAATTAGAGATGAAGCCACCGGTGTCGACGGGAGAATCGTCATTTGGAGCACTTAGACAACCTTTCATAGCAAGCTTTCAATGCAAATACCATGACGTTTCAGTGACCTACTAGCACCTAGTGATACGTTCTCGACAGTTCTTTCCGAGAACATTGACAAAAAGGCCCCAGTCGCTCGACGTCCGATTCTATACAAATACGGCGTGTACAGCTCATCTGACTCAATCAGGCCTTCCAAACGACGTCGACGCCGATAATCGACATTCAAACATGGAGCAGTACGGCAGAGAATCCGAGCCTCAGCGCTCACCCAGCACATTTATTTACAATCTTGCGTTCAGACCGAAAGATCGGGATTCGGCGACCAGTATGAACTCGACGACTGTACCAGCTTCGTCTATGTCACCTCATTTCTATTCGCCACTTCACGCCGGCTCTCTCCTGGAACGACGCGCTCTGGCTGGACGCACTATCTGCGGCATGCCACTTGCGCCATTAACCGTGCGAGTTCCGCCCCGAATAGATATAGACGTATCCGTGACGAATTCTGGCATGTTAGATGACGCCTTCTTGCAGTTTATTACACAACGTCAATCTCGTAAGGCGGCTCCTCCGATGTATGGGGAGAGGCATGCTCTAGCAGTGAGGATTCGCTCGGTTCAGGACATTTGTCTA